TATATATATATATATATATATATACACACACACATACATATACACAGCTTACTATGAATTTGCCTACAAAAATTTATTCAGAAGTAGGAGAAGAAAGAAAGTGCATCAGGAAAAGAACTTAAATACTACAATAAACATAGTGAATTAGCAAACTAAATGTGTATGATAAACACAAGATTCATAAAGGTCAGTTTCTTACCTGACTTCTTGAAATCAAGAAAGTGTCTTCATATCTCTTCAATTAGTCCCCAACCGCAGACCAGCTTCTCTACATGAAGATATATATACTAGAAACACGTCGATCATACACTGTTTCCATAAAATTCTGACAAATTCGAGGTAGAGACAACTCATAACTACAGCTTCACTCAAGCGGAATTTTTTTTGAAATAGACCATTTCAAAGATAAAATTATCAATTTCGACCTACTTGCAAAAAATTTATCAAATTATCCCCGGCATTCCCAATCCCGTAGAGTATACGAATTTTTTTTTCCAAAATCTACCTAGTTCCCTAAATACTTACCAAAATCGACCTAGTTTCAGCCAACATGGCAGAAACTAGGTCTACTTTGATAAATATTATGGGACTACGTCTATTTTGATTATTCTTTGGGGGAATAGGTCTAGTTCAAAAATTTGTCCGCACTCCAGCCGACCATATATCTGCATCAAAAAATATAAACGTTTCCCCCTTCTCAGACATTTTCTCAAAAATCTCATATGCAATCCAATTCCCATTAAAAAATGCAAAGTTTAAGGAAATGGGTAAGAGCCAAAACCTTTCCTATAATACCCATATGGTCAGGACGCTTCCCTCCTCAACTCGCTCCCATGGGAGCCGCAAACATCATCCGGAGATCGACAAGGAAACGTTCCCAGCTACTAAACTTGATCATTCTCAAATTCCCCACTTGGGTACTCATCATCCTTAACAAATTTAGACCCAGAAGCAGGAAGGGCTCCGTCTCCTCCTCCTTGGGCTTTCTCCTCTTTGGTGAGAGGAGAGCAGCTGAGAGCTCGAATGCGGGAATTTGGGGCTGTTGGTTTTGTGGTGGGTGAAGAGAGTGTGATTCACAGAGGAGAGGAGAGGGAGAGATTGAGGGTGAGAGAAGAGGAGAGGTTGGGGTTTTCTTTGGAGGAGAGAATAGGAGAGGTTTAGGATTTGGGTGAGAGAGAGGTGAGGCGGCCACTGGTGGTGAGTTTGAGCAGAAAATTTGTAGACATCGCTCCCCGATCTCCTCTCTGTTTCGTGAGTGAGAGTGAGGAGGCATTGAAGATTGAGAGGCGGTTTTTAACATACAAAAGAAGTTAACCACCCGCCTATTTTCGCTCCTTTTCGTCCCCCTCTGAGGTGGGGTAGGACACTTCTTGTCTACGCGGCACTGGGACCGAGTCTAGAGCTGTATCAAACTCGGTGGTTTTGACGAGTTTTGACTTTTAGTTTATTCCCTCGCATCTTTCATATTTTCAAATTAGTCCCTCATTCTTGATATTTGATATCTTTCCCCTAAATCTTTAAGTATTTCGAAATTATTCCCACACATCTTTATAAGTATTTTGAAATTAGTCCATCAGATCTTTTCCCCAGCTGCTAACTAGAAGGATTATTAGATTCTAAACATTTAAAAGATTTAGGAACTAATTTCAAAAATCAGAAGATGTGGGGGATTAATTTGAAAATACTTGAAAATGTGGGGCACTAATTTCAAATACTAAGATTTTGGAGACTAATTTCAAAATACAAAATATTTTGGGGGCTAATATCGAATAGCCCAAACCAAAATTCTTCTCCCACATCAAGGTAACACTTTTTTCTTCTTTTTTTTTTCCCCTTCTATCATAGAAGTTACGCAAATGGTGATTTCATGCGAGTTCAGCACGCTCTACATTTATCCAGGATTTGATCCTCTCCATTGCCAAAAAGTAGTTGAGAAACCACTACATTAATAATTAATAATTGTGAATAGCTACGATTCATCGTATCCTATGGATTGCACTATTTTTCTAATTTATACTCAAATGCAAATTACAACCACCCACTAAAAAAGATCAGCAATTGTGATATTACAATGGTCCCTCCAGTACTTTTTGGTAGTGGAGAGGATCTCAATTCATTTATACACATGATATAAAAGTGTGATATTGGCAACTTGACGTGATGAATCGTATGATAGCATCTCTTTTCCATTTCTCATATACTCTACATAGAGAGTATAGTTTGCCTATTTGATTTCTTGCCCAATTTGGATCTTGATATATAATTACAGTACAACACAATTAAGATAGACTTGAACATTTCAGATCAGAATGCGCGTAAACAGTCTTTTATCAGTTGAAAGATAGGGTTAGCATCAGGTGCATTTTCCAATCTTTCAAACAAAATGCCATCCATTCTTGCTTGAACCCCAATTGAGGATGTAACATCCTGCAACAATTCCTTCACATTTCTATCCATACCAAATAAGGAGCTCCCAATGCCAGTTAATATCTCCGGTAAGGTTGGTGATGGTTTTGATATCTCCAATAATCGAACCTGGATGCAAAATTAGATTAAAAAACAGAGTGAAAGCAACTTAATTGTTTCATAATATGCATATAGAAACATATTACAAACATCATTATCTGAGATAGTTGAGACACTAGACGGAGAACATATTTCAAAGAGAACAGTGGATATCATAAGACATGAGGGCTCTCAGTGACTGAACCTTAGCCCATTGACATGGGCTGAGTTATTAAGTAATAAAGAAAGAAATTCTATTATTCACTTGGCTGGGATTATATGAGAGAATACCCTCATATGTCATACGATACGCATCACTTATTACTCTGTATGGCCAAACATAAACAACAACAAGAAGAGACTCACGGGTCTATCCTGTGGTATATTGGCTTTGTGTTTGGCGATAGCCACAGCTCGGGAAAATCCACCAATAGCATCAACTAGACCCCTGGCAGCTGCATCTTTGCCACTCCACACCCTTCCTTGTGCAACCTCCTCCATCTCATCTATCTGGCAACAGAACAGAATTTATGATGCCGTAGATAAGGAGAACCATAGAGAAAGACGTAGAAATCCTTACAGTCATGGATCGTGAAGATGCTGCTTTGTCCCGGAACTTTCTGTATGCATTTTGTGCAGATTTCTCAAACAATTCTGCTTCATCTGGTCTGCAGGAACCAATAGGTTAGCTGGGTTTTGACCTTGCACAAGAAACTGAAGAAACAGGAGAAGTTCAATCCTCAAATTGGCAAAAATATGTGATTATTTTACAAATATGATAGAAGCAAAGGATTTTTACTGAACAACTTTCCAAATACTTCACAACTTTCCAAATACTTCACAACAGAGGAGGTTCTTTGGGCTCACAAATATATGTATGCTTTATAATCTTATGCATATCAATATTTGAAATGTTAATCTGATTCAGGCAGATACGGGACTGGGACACATGTCACAACTTGCAAAGCCACTTCGAACTTCCAATAAGTTGTGAAGCTCGGAATTTGCATAATGAGGGTATCCTTGCAAATTGGCACTAATATATAAGTATTGTAAAAAATAAAAAAAATGTTGAACGTTTTGATTATAAGTTAAATCAATGTATGTTTAACTTCAGAATAAAATGGCAGACAACCAGATTTTTATCAAACAAAATATAGAAACTCAATGACATCTTGTGTCTCTTTATCCACCCAATGCTAAGAATACGGCCAATCCTTGTACCTATTACAAAAAAGCATCCAGGTTTTGAGCACTGCTATCATGGGAGTATAGTATTTGGAACTTTCGTTTTTCTTAAGAACAACCTCTAATAGGAGATGAACTAAGAGGGAACAAATTGATTAAATAATTCTAAGTATGCTTTGGCCGGGCTGCTTTCATTGGGAATTGGCTACATCACTTGCATCCTATCAGATACAGGACAACGTCTTTATAATCAAGTATTCGTCTGATAGAATATTCCTTAATCAGGTATTAGCTGTAATCAGGTCTCTCATAGAAAGATAGAAACGAAACAGATACCTAAATGAACGTTGATCAGCAGAGAAAAGCTCAGCATATTTTCCTCTTGATATTATCTCCTTGTTAAAGCCAATCCTTTCATACAGCTTACCTAAACTGAATTTCCCTGCAAGCAAACAAGTGTTTAGAATGTACAACTCGAGCAAGACAATGGCTGTATGCAAAGAAAAGACCAATTTTTTAGCAGACTTGGAATTCATCAAAATTTGTTTGCATAATGACGAAGTAATATCATGTGGGTATTTAAGTAAGAATAAAGAATCAAAAATATATTGAGCTTCAGAGGAAAAATGTGGATAAGTCTGGAAAGAAAAATAAAAATACATAAATGAGATAAAATTGCAAGTTTTATATGTTTAACATGAAAATGGCATGCCATAGTAAAATGATAAAAGAAAATGATTTTTGAAATTGTCTCCAATCACCCTTCTGCTTCTTGATATTCATATCAGGCGCAACATAGTAAATCCAATTATCAAAATGCAAATCTAACACCAGAAATTCTGCTGTGCCCGTGGAGAACTCATTTGAAGATTTAGTTCCACACAGGATCAATTCACTAGGTTCACCTGTAACAACTCCAATTGAACCAGTCAATGTCAGCTTTTCAGCAACAATAGTCTGCGCTGCCATGGCCATGTAGTATCCCCCACTTGCAGCAACATCAGACATGGATGCAATCACAGGTTTAGAGGCAGCAAGAAGCCTGATCTCTCTCCACATTCTGAATCACAAAGAAACAACTTCAAGGTTAGATTATTTTCAAAAGAAAGTTCGAGCGAAAGATTTACCAGAGATCAACAATGATTAACAGATATTATAGAAAAATGCATCCGTCTATAATATACAGCCACCAAAACAACAAAATAAGCACTTCTTGTGGTTGATGGTATACTACCGATGCGAGCAAATAAGAAAATGCTAACACTAGAAACATTAATCAAGTGACACTCGTATCACATTTTTCTCACCTGCACCCAAGACAGACATGAGACAGCCACATGGAAAAGAATGTGCATAGAGCATCCATGAAAATACAAGGCTCTACCATTCTATGTAGAACGACCATCCTATGTTCAACTATATTAACTTTAAACTCCTCCCAAGTGCAAAAATTCAACAATACCTCATATAATTGTTAAGGAGTAATATTTGAGTAAATACCTTGTTGCATAGTGCTTCATTTTGGATCATTATGTTTTGTGAATTCCACAATATAGACCACTTTATTTGAGAAACGCCTCCCATCTTAAAATATTTTGTCTGAAACTTTCTGAATAAAGTGCTTTTCCCCCTAACCTATACCATTTCCTTTGAGGCATCCTTAACACCGATGAACCACACAGATTACAGTATTTCACTGAAACAAACCTAACTGCATAATGTTCCCTCTTAGTATCGCACATCAGATATTGAGAACCCTTGTGGATTCACCAGAAGTTGCATATAGTGTAACTCAAGTCTTCAAAATCTTAGCACGCATCATATTAGTACCAAAATCTACAGCTGTAGTGCTACAAGACAAAATGACAAGATTACTCTATTGGAGGTAAACAATGAAGAAACACGACACCGATGACTGATTAGTCAGAAGCTTAATGACCAAAACTGTGTAAATTTTTGTAGGTGCATGGAAGAAGGGAGGGAGAGGAGAAAATTCATTACAAAATCTAAGCTTAAATGTCAGGCAGGAAAAAGGTCTAACTGATTTTAAAATCTATACTTCAGAAACAAACTTAAAGTTAGAATCTAAACCGAAAGGGGAAGTATCTTTTAGCTTGCGGGAACTAAAAGATTACACACAGATCAAATTTTCAGTAGAAACTTACAAATCAGATGCAAGAGCATCACCCCCAGGGCTATCAATCCGCAAGACAACGGCTTTAACAGCTTTATACCTGTCTGATTCTGAAATAAGAAATTGCTCAACTTTACAACATTGAAAGGACAACAGAAATTATCACGCTGTGATCAACGAAAGAAAACAAGGATTTTCATAATGCAGGTCTCTTTTAGAAGTTACTGTCTTCCAAATACAATGTGAAGTCTTCCAAATTTAATGTTGAATAAGTTAGAAAACATTGGAGCTACATGCTATACAAAAGGTTTCAATTAATAATTTGATATAACAAACCTTTTTCGTATCCCTCCCTCTCTCCCTCCCTCTACTTTTTATTGATAAATGTATGAATTATCCAGAATTCCTTAAGATGTATGCTTACAGTAGACTTTGCTAGTTTTCTGAAGTTAAATAGGTACAAAAATCAGAAGGGGGGAAAAGGAAAGAGGGATGAGAAGGAAAAAAATGGTAAATTACTCCAATATTAACATTTTCAGATGTATAAATGAACAAATATCAGAACTTTCTGGCCAGTCAACTTTATAATTTCCACTCAACAAGGAACTTCAGAAGTGCAACTTCACAAATTAATAGCAACTCCAGCATCCACCTGGCCTCTCTCCAGAACAGATGAAGTTCGTGAGTTTCTGCTACAGATGGTTCCAAAGAACAGCAATGCCTGTCACTGCACATTTTTGGGCTGCAAACTTCTATTCAGTAACTAAAAATCGTTTAAGTGGTGCATCCCTTTGACCATACTTGCTTGCATGCTGTTAAGTGAATAAAAACGATAAAAATTTAATGCTTCAGCTTAATTAATAAGCTTTCTTACTATAAAGATGAGACGAAAATTATTTAACTAGTATAGTGCACGTGCTTTGCACGAGAGCATCCCTGCATTATTTTATGTTTTTCAATTTTTTGTTGGCTACAAAAAAATGAAATGACTTGTATAGCAATATAAATACTGAACAATTACAATTTTATTTATATAAATAAATTGTACGATAAAACTGTATATAAATAACTGTATGATCAATTATTATAGTTTGGATAATTATTATAATTTATTCATAATTTATTCAAATAATTATAGTTTATTAAATAGTTTCTTCTCTTTTAAATATAATAATATTATACTTGGCATTATAATACTATTAGTAACTACATTATAATTTAATAATTAGTTTATTACACTATAAGTAATTAATTTACTAAATTGTATAATTATTAAATTACAGTGTAATTTATTAATTCAAAAATACTATTAGAACCATTATACTATTAATACTATTACAATTACAATAAATACAAATTGTTATTCATACTATTATCATACTTTTCAAAGGCTAATAAGATGTAAGGTAACAGGTAGTCCTCCATAAGAGGTGAAACCCAAAGTTGTAAGGCATAAGCCTAATGAATTTTTGTTATTTTTAATTTTTCTAGAATCTTAAATATTATGTGAAGATAAATTAGGGATAAATTTCAAATTTTCTATTAAATAACATAATAAAATAATAGTATGACCAAAGGTTTTGAAAAAGTGAGGAAATGTATAACTAATAAGAGGTTATATGTAATTAGTGAATGATTACAATTAATGACATATTTGAGAATTATCAAACTTATACGGGCAAAAATAGAAATCAAAAGTTTTGACAAGGCAATCCTCTTTTATATGTAGTATAGATTAAGTAAAGTAACCCATAATCATATTGTTAAATTACGTGGTAAATATAACAATAGATCAGGGAAGATGTGTTTGTACCATATTACTGGAGGTCAAAGCATACATCCTACAAAAGTCCATTACTTGAGCACAATAAGCATATTAAGAATCAGTATACCAAGCAATTACAATCTTGCGAAAAAAGAAGTGGTGAAGAACATATGAAACTACAGTATATCAAATTAGTAAGTGGATATTAACCTCTGATACTGCGGATTTTCTCAATCAATTGATCAGCAATAATGCCTGAGCTAGGAACACTTAATGGACTACGGGCCCTGGTAATGTTTCCACAAGCTCTAATTATAGCAATTTGGTCCCTGCCTCCTTCCAACCCAAGTGTCCAACTTCTTACTCTTGAATATTTCCTGCGTATAAGATAAAAGGACTAATTAACTCTGAACTTCTACCCTAACAGAAAAGGCTTTAATCCTTTTATCAAATTCTGGATAAACATAATTCAGAAGACAATTTTTAACTCATGATCCTAAGGCATGGCACTACAAATTTTTAACTTCAAATAATCATAGTTGGAAAGCACTTTATAATGAAATCTTAGAGAATGCATGGCTGAAGATAGATCTGATAAAGTTGTAAATGTTAACAGGGGATTTATTGAAGATCCCTACTTAGATATCTTGTATTAGATCTGATTAAGTTGTAAATGTTACGATGGGATTTATTGAAGGGCACTACTCAGATATCTTGTATTTTGAGTTTTCATAAAACACCATTAGAAACATTTAACTTGGAGAACTAACAAAGATTTAAAACTTTCACAAGGTTTAAACATGGTAGAAGAATAAGGTAAGAGGATATATGATCAGTCAAAAGACTTCAGGCATATCCACCAATATGCTAACCACATACTGTTTGAGAACATCTTAAAAGACCTAACATCAGGATTCCTCAGCAAAACATGGATAATTATTGTCTGAATACACTTTGGGAATCTAAGAAAATATCTTTAAATGCTCTATTCCTAGCAGTTGACATCGGGAAAAATCAACTATTCTCACTTCAAAGAAATTAAATGCAAATATATCAATGGTCTTCTCTTTCTCTTCCCTTTTTTTGTTCACTACAAGAAAAAGAGCAGCAAGATAAACCAATGATTAATACATCCATAATACTTTCTCACTAAGTCACCATCTTTTTAAGGAAACTTTGACAACAAAAGTACAGTGAATAAGAATTTCCTTAACAATGCCTTCTTAATGTCTTCTGGGATGTTTGTTACCTGTAATCAACCATGAGAAGATTTTTCTTATCCTTCTGTCCCAATCTCTCCTTTAGCATCGTTCTAACCTGTTTTTATTTAATTTCACAGCAAAAAAGATATCTTATAAGCAAACATGACTAATATAGCTCTACCGAGGAAGGTAAAAACTATAGAGTTTATTAAATAAGCTTCACAAAAAAGCTACTTCTAGTACTTGAGAAACGTAAGAACACAGATGTGGTTGCAAACTGTTGCACCATAACAGGTCACAGACCTGACATCTGATGTTTGAAAACAAGGATGGAATACACAAAGCATCTGAGTTTATGGTTGGTCCTCGACTGGATTCAGATTAGGAGTTCAGCCTCTAGGCAAACAGCCCAGTACTTGGTAAGCAAGAAGTAGGGCTAGGTTATGTTAAGGAGTGCTTTTCTGGGCTTCTCTATCTCATCCAATGGATGAGACTGCTCCTAGTATGAACTGGACAAAGTATAGTTCACATCCTATAAACAAAGTCCTTGTTAATTCTCCAAAAAAGACAGCACAGACAAAGTTTTATTCATATTTAAGTTGCTCCAACTTGAAGACCGACAATGATCAGCATGAGTTGTAATCAGTGTCAGAAGCCTCTTGTAATCTCTTACATCCCAAGATTTTCTTTTTTTTTTACTGACAATTCCTAGAAGATTTCATCGACATCATGCAACTGGTAACTTGCTTTCACTTGTTTATTATAAAATAGTATCCCATGATAAATAAATCAAATCAAATATCATCTAACCATGAAGCATGAATACTTCAAAACCCTCTCATATCTTGTCATTTTCCCCTATAAGACACCAACCGCAATGCTCGAGTACATAGATCATGTGTTTGTTAAAAAAAAGTTAAAAGAGAATGAAACGGTAAAAGCAAGCTTTTCTTAAACCTTGATGCTGTATGCAGGTTTCCTTATCCTCCCTGAATGATGGCCTTGGTGAACTGCATTGCAATGTTTATGTCCAGGAGAACATGACCATAATGTGTTTTAGTGAAAATTCGTCTTCCCTTTAATTCATTTTATAATGTAAACTTGTTTGTTCTATGTTTTTCAATCATTAGGACCAAAACTAACAGGATACAAATGTATGCTAAGCTCTCCTAACATATTAAATAACCCCCAAACCTACACAATCCCAGATGTAAAGGATTATTTGTCATGCCCATGCAGAAACAGGTGGCATACTGGAAGTGCCACATGGCAGCCTCTAGGATGGAATGTGCAGACACATACCAGTATGTTAAAATTATTGAAATATTTTTTCACTTGATCCTATTTTCACTTAATTTTCCATGAATCACCACATCAAGTACCCAAGTTGGCATAGATTCGTCTACTTTCATATATCACAGACCTCTTAGTATTAGGACTATTTTTCTCTGTTTTTTACACCATAATAGTATACTTTATATACCTGTATCACAGTAATGTAATTGGGAACAGAGATTCTCCGTCAAAAAGGCTGCTAAGATGAAAAATGAGCTAAGTAAATAAAACAAAGAAAAGAACCTTTTTAAACCCAAAAAAAAAGATGTCATTCCAAATGATGCTAAAGTAAAATATGTCAGAGGCTGAAGGAAGAACGTGTACCTCATCATCATATAATATATCTGTTATCCACCCTTCTTCTTTAAGTCTTTCAACTTGGTAAACCCCTGTATTAAGGAAGTTCTCAATTTCTTCTCTCCCCTTTTCTGCAAAAAAAAAAAAAAATATTTCCAAGGATCTTCCTGTTGAATAATTAAACTATAAACAGTTGTATTAGTGCATAAGACAAATAAAGGCACCTCGAGTATTACTGCAGAAGACAAATAAATGCACCTCGAGTTAAAGATACTGTATCCAGCCAATTTCCGTAAATATTATCAAGAAGTGAAGTCAGCATCTCGCAAACTTCTTTTGACATGCTTTTCCGCGTAAGTTGGTCTCCAGCACTTTTATATTTACCAAGACGCTGAATTTGTGGTTCAACACCCACCTTTTCCAGGACACCTGAAAAGTAAAATTGTGTCCAATTCCACTTATACTAGGAAAAAGGAAAGGGGTAGGAAAGAACCCTAACAATGACTACAATGTTAAATATGGACTAAACTAGTCCACCAATAAGAATGAGATAATGATTATGGGTATGATTAGGTGCTGTAAGAACAGGTACTTCAAGTCAACAGTAAATTATGAGACCCCTATGTTGAAAGACATTCAATTAAACCTGATACAGAACGAAATGTGGACTCAAATCCTTCCTAAACAGACTCAAAAAGGCACTTCAAGTAGAAGTCCACTAATTTTTCTTTATGCAACCCATTTAAATGCCTAAAGTAAAAAAATCAAATGTTTTAAACATAACCTTATCCATTCAACCTCTGAGAATGAACGGCCATAAATTGTGTTACATGCGATGAACTTCATAGATCAATATGATGACCCTGTACACATGCTTTTAAGGCATGTACAGCATAATAGAAGATGTGGACTTACAATGCAAGTGCTCCAATCAATATGTGGGCAAACAAGAAGGAAAGATGACCCCTCACCCATACACATATATGTATCTACGGGATCAAATTCAGCAGCTGGTAATATTGAGAACAATCTATAAAAAACCCAAACCTTGCAAGTCTTTGGAACATAGGGCCATCAAAATCATAACAGCATGAACAAGGACTTCTGGGACATCACCAGCTCAAGTGTGTACCTGACACTTTTTTAACAACAATATGGTCTTTACAACTTTTAGCGTTATGACATAGTCCTTTTAATTTAGGGTGAGATGAACACTCCATCGGCGGTGCAAAAAAAAGACCCTCGTGTACCTTCACCACATGCATGTGTAAGTTAACTTTCATATTGGACTTGGTTCCCAACAATTTCCACTGGCGTAGGCTCCACTACCACTTTGTAATGCCCAGACAAGGATTTTCTGTTAGTACTCCTGTTGCACACTTGCACATGCTTCATAGTGGAGTTTTACCAATTTTCATTATTTGAATGCTAGCCATGATTAAGTTTTGAGTTTATTGGAACTAGTATACATAAACCCCACTTTTAGCACACATTTAATGTGGTACCAGTCACTTCTTGGGGTCATGATTAATAAAATTCCAAACCCAGTGGCGGAGCTAGGAATTTTAGTAAGGTGGGGTCCAAACCAAAAGAGAGAAAAAAGGTTTACAAAAATTAAACAAAATCATTAACTTTGAAAGGCTAATTTGTAATTGATATGTAAAAATATCAACAAAATAGTCAAAATTTTACTCACCATATCTAACAAAATCGTGAGTTGTTGATTTGGGGTGTTTTTGTCAAAATTGTTGATTTGTGATAGCTTTGAAGCTATTGAGATTGGGGGTACTTTTGCAGATATGCATGACGTAAGGTGAGTATGCATGCAAAAAAACAAAATAGATTGGGCATTAGCGCTCTTTTCTAGGACTAGTAACTGTAGTATCATGCTTTTCCCCATTAGGAAGATTGAGTTTAACAGGTTCAACACACTCTTAGCAATTTCATGAATGGTGAACATGTCCTAGCACATAGAATAGGCTCTTAGTTAAATTTATTAATCAGTTCCTAGCTCATCCATGGCTTCCTTTCCTCTTTGTCTTTTCGTAGCATCTACCTTTGTGCTTTTGTAGGCTTAGGTTTGAATTGCAGTAGCTAGGACACATGGCTAAGACAAGGAAGCTAGATAGAATGTGAGTATACGTAAGCAAGAAGTAAACCAAGTAGTGCATTAATGAAGTGCTAGTATCTCTATCTAGCTTCTTTCATCTTTCAAGGAGGGGCCAGGGCCCCTTAGGGGGGCCATACATAGCTCCGCCCCCGCCAAAAACCAATCCTACAAGTAAAAACTGATTAAACGAATAGAGTAACTAAAACATAAACATCAAGTTTGTACGCCATTGAACACTGATATCTAAGACAATAGCCTAACTATAGTTGAATTTGTCGAAAACTGAATTTTGTTATAAGTAGTTTCTTTTAGAACTAAGTTTCCTTGAAATCTAGCTCCCACCTGTCAATTGGTGCTCCCACTAGTAGCGGACAGGCAAAGTTTCAGAAGTATATTAAAGAAGATTTGCCACAAGTATAGAAAAAACACCAGGAAATAAACATCTTTTAGGCTACTTTGATTCAATCAATGAGATGTGCATATTCACTAGTAAAGATGAATATTTGAAAACTGAAATGCATATCAATGCACGTTATTGTAAAATATTAATGTAAAAATAAAATGGGTTCAAAAATAAATTTCTAGATAACTAGCAAACAACGCATTTTGAATATATTAACTGAAGACTAAATAACCTTTGAAACCCTTGAAGGCATAAATATTATCAATTTCATTTCCACATATCCCTCTTCAGAAGAAAACATAATAACCGTACCTCCAAGAAATGATGATTGAACTGCTAAACCGTATAATCCAACATAAGCACTAGGCGGCATATACACCTCCCCACAAGCACATGCCAGATAGTACTCCTTCTCTCCGCATAGAGGAACATAGCTTACAATGAACTTGCCTACAAAAAGTTATTCAGAAATAGGAGGAAAAAGAAAGAAAGAACATCAGGAATAGCACTGAAATACTACAAGAAACATAGCGATCCGCAAATTAAGATAGATTGTACGAGCTATTGGGGTAAGGAAATTCCAAGACATGCTCCTCAAAAATATATGATAGAGCATCTCAGCAGATTATCAATCATGGTTGCCATTTGTTTGAGGACATACTTATGAATTATTGTAAACGTATTCAACCACAGTTCAAGTCGGTTTCATTCTTGAAATATTCTTTACTTTATTACCACTTGGTGCATTGGTAAGAACTCTGCAACACACTAGATTTTTCATTAACAAATACTTATAGGTGATAAATATTATAGTGAATGGAGCTGATAATTAATTTAAATGGTACATCCTGAATATGCACTCATTTCATGTTTCTAGTATTCTCGAATGAAACCTCCACCCTACAGAATTTTTTGCCTCATTCCGGCAGAGACAAGCATACAGCAATTATGTTTACATATACAGGTCAAATATTACGAGAAAAATATCTATATTGAGAACTTTGATACTAACTGCATTGTTCAAAAGATTCATAACGGTTAAGTTCCTTACCTGACTTCTTGAAATCAAGAATGTGCCTTCGTATCTCTTCGACTTTCCCCCAACCACAACTCAGTGGCTCTATCTGAAGATATATCCCAGACACACGTGGATCATATACTGCTTTAGTAAAATTCTGACAAATCTGAGGCAGAGACAACACAGAACTAAAGCGGCTCCCGAGCTGATCAGATATCTGCATCAAAAAATCCCAAACATCTACCCTATCAGACATTTTCTCAAACATATTATATGCAATCACAAATTCTTCGACTTTAAGAAAATAGGTAAGAGTCAAAACCTGTCCTTTGAGCTTAATTGACAGAACACTCCCCTTCTTGACTCGCTCCCATGGGAAAGCAACCAGCATCCTGAGCTTAACAAGGAAACTTAACCACCAACCAAACTTGATCATCTCAAATTCCCCGCTTGGGTACTCATCATCCTTAACAAATTTAGACCCAGAAGTAGGAAGAGCTCCATCTCCTCCTTCTTGGGCTTTGTCCTTCTCTTCGTTGCTCTCTTCCTCCTCTTTTGTGGGAGGAGAGTTGAGAGCTCTAATGGGGAAATTGGGGTTGTGGGTTTGGTGGTGGGTGAAGAGAGAGTGGGGCCCAGGGGAGAAGAGGGGGAGAGACTGGGCGTAAGAGAAGAAAAGAGGGGGTTTTCTGTGGACGAGGAGAGAAGAGGAGAGGTTTCGAATTTGGGATAGAGAGGAGAGGCCATTGGTGGGTTTTAGTAGAAGGATTTTAGACATCTCGCCCTCGCTCTCTCCCTCCTTCTCTCCCTCTCTCCTCTCTTTGCTTTGTGCGCGAGAGTCAGAAGAGAATGGAGGAGGAGATTAAGAGGTGTTTTTTTTATTTGGGAGATGAGGTGAGTCGTCTTGGATTGTAACAAGGTTACGCTTTTGCCACGACTTTGGTAGGAAACGGGAACATGAAAGATTTCGGTTTCGTTTGGATAACATGTGTTCTTCTTTGGACAAATTTTGAAAACAGACCTCTTTGCAAAAATATTTTCAAAAAAAGACCTGTTTTCACTTTATTTTCAAAAAACGACCTAGTTTTTCATTTTATTTTCAAAAAACGACCTACTTTGTTGAAACTGAGTCGTTTTTTTGTGAAAAATATTCCCAAACTTCACGGGAGTTGAACTCCCGTGAAGTTTTTTTCATAACAAAACTTCACGGGAGTTCAACTCCCATGAAGTTTGTGAACATTTTTCACAAAAAACGACCCAGTTTCAGCCCTGAGGCTGAAACTGGGTTGTTTTTTGCAAATATTTTCAAAACGGGTCTTTTTTGGGAATATTTTTGCAAAGGGGTCTGTTTTCAAAATTTGTCCGTTCTTCTTTTTGTGTTTTTATAAAAAACATTGTGGTGTTGTGTTTTTTTTTTTTTTTGGGAAAAATGTATCCAGACCCCAAAATGAGAAAGTTCATCCTTGTATTTTGGCCCATGTGATTCAGCCCCAAAAAGTACCAATTAATATTTCAAGGCGCCCCTCCACGTCAGCAGTATAAAAAAAGAGATTGTATTTTGAAAAAAAAAACCCGAAATTACCCCTCCACTTATCTTTCCCAGACGTCTGGTCCACAAAATACATGGAAAGTCACGCCCATTAATGCGATTTGATGGAAAAAATAGAGGGAAATTTCCCGCCCTTTTTTGAACTCTATCATGAGCAATAACGCATGTTAGTTCTAAGTTATTTAATGTTAGTTCTAAGTTATTTAATGTTAGTTCTAACTTATTTTATGTTAGTTCTAACTTAGTCCTATTTTATGTTAGAGCTAATGTTAAGTAGAACTAATATAAATACTTTAGGCTATTTGGTCTAGTGGTAAACCTTATTTTATATTAGTTCTAACTTATTTTATGTTAGTTCTAACTTAGTTCTAATTCATGTTAAAGCTAACTTTAAGTAGAACTAATATGTTTATACCATGTTACAGTGGCTATGTTAGTTCTAGTTGAGCTCATGTTAGTTCTGGTGGTTCTCGTGTTAGTTCTACCTGATTTCATGTTAGTTCTACTTCCAGCTAGTGTTGGTTCTAATATAAGCGTTAGTTCTAGTGGTTATATTAGTTCTAGTTGAGCTCTTGTTAGAACTGACACGATACCTGTTAGAATTGATACTAGAGAAGCTAGAACTAACACATCATCAAGTAGAACTAATATGGCGTTTAGACCTAACAATTACGCTAGAACTAACGACTTAAATAAATTAGAATTAACACGATACCAGTTAGAACTAACACTGGAGAAGCTAGAACTAACACATCATTAAGTAGAACTAACATGGCGTTTAGACCCAACAATTATGTATAACTAACGACTTAAATAAATTACAACTAACACGATATCTGTTAGAACTAACACTAGAGAATGTAGAACTAACACGGCATAAATTAGAACTAACATCGCGTTTAGACCCAACACTTACGCTAGAACTAATGCATTAAATAAATTAGAACTAACATGATACCAAATAGAACTAACACTAGAGAAGCTAGAACTAACACATCATCAAGTAGAACTAACATGGTGTTTAGACTAATAAGTACGCTAGAAATAACGCATTACATAAATTAGAGCTAACACGATACCAGTTAGAACTAACACTGGAGAAGGTAGAACTAATATAGCATAAATTAAAACTAACATGACGTTTAGACCCAACACTTACGCTAGGAATATCATATTAAATAAATTAGAACTAACATGATACATGTTAGAACTAACACTGGAGAAGCTAGAACTAACACATCATCAAGTAGAACTAACATGGCGTTTAGAACCAACAATTACGCTAGAACTAACGACTTAAATAAACTAGAACTAACACGATATCTGTTAGAACTAACACTGTAGAAGCTAGAACTAATATGACATAAATTGGAACTAACATGACGTTTAGACCCAATATTTACGCTAGAACTAACGCATTAAATAAATTAGAACTAACACGAGCTGGTAAAAATTAGAACTAACATGAGCTGGTAAAAATTAGCACTAATATGAGTTGTGATAGAACAAACATGAGCTAACTCTAGTTATTTATGCCATTTTTTAAATTCTATCATGAGCTAACTCATGTTAGTTCTAACTTATTTCAAGTTAGTTCTAACTTATTTCATGTTAGTTCTAATGTCAAGTAAGAGCTAACTTTAAGTGGAACTAACATTAATACTTTGGCTACTTGGTCTAGTGGTAAAGCTTGGTAATTTGGAGAGGAGGTCAAGAGTTCAAACCCCTACACCTACAATATATTTTTAAAAGTCTTTGATTGGGCCTTTGGCCTTGGGGCTCTTGGTTAGTTCTAACTAATTTTATGTTGGTTCCAACTTGCTCTTTGTTAGTTCTAACTCACTTAAAGTTAGTTCTAACTTGCTCTTTGTTAGTTCTAACTCACTTAAAGTTAGTTCTAACTTGCTCTTTGTTAGTTCTAACTCACTTCATGTTAGTTCTAGTTCTAATTCATGTTAGTTCTAACTCGTTCTTTGTCTAACCTACCGCATGTTAGTTCTAGTTCTAATTCATGTTAGTTCTAACCCACTGCATGTTAGTTCTAGTTCTAATTCATGTTAGTTTTAGGCTCTTGTGCTCTTTGTTAATTCTAACTCATTTTATGTTGATTGTAACTCACTTCATGTTAGTTCTATTTCTAATTCATGTAGTTACTTTCACCAACATAAAATCTATAAACAATTGGGAGTACACAAGCTCATACCTGATGTAGTTACTTTCACCATCCTTCTCAAGGGAATGGCTGTGCAAGGAATGTTGAAGGAAGCAGCAATAATTTTCTTTCAAATACTAAAGAGGGGATTTATGCCAGATGTCGTAGCATACTGCAGTTTGGTCGATTGCTTGTGCAAGCATGACAATCTAATTGCTGGGTTTAAACTTTATAGAATGATGTTTAAAAATGATGTTCATCCTGATATTGTTGTTTATAATGTTCTTATAAAGAAGGTAGAACGGACAGAACTAACATGGCAACGAACAGAACTAACATAGGAGATAACAGAACTACCATGAAAGCGGGTAGAACTAACGTAAGAGATGACAGAACTAACATGAAAGTTGGTAGAACTAACAGTCCAGTCCTCAGAACTAACAGTCCAGCCTTTAGAACTAACAGTTCAGCCCTTAGAACTAACATTCCAGCCCTTAGAACTAACCTTACAGCCCTTAGAACTAACATTCATAGTTCTAATTTTCCTTGTCCCCCCTTTCAAATTCACAGGTTCTTAGATTCTTTAGTCGACTTTTAATCACATTGTCTTCAATTTCTAGCTAAATGTCGATATGCCTGAAGATTCAATGTGAGTTTTTGAAAATTTCTGCTGTTAATCTCTTATACAGAACTCTGTCAATCACCAAATCACACAAGAAAAAGGCATTAAAGGAAAACCCAAACTGTTGTTCAAGAATCCAAGGAGATGTCATTTCAATTAAATGAGAGAGAAAAACTACAAAAACCCAATATCGATTCCCTTCATAAATTACAAGAAAACAAGAGCACTATCTTGATTAAGACATTGATTTGAGTAAAGATATTCCGTAACTTAGAAATGGGAGAACAACGATGCATCGGACCAAAGCTTCGGGCTCCGTCAGCTCGTGGGTCCCACCGGACCATGTTCTGTGTTTGTCGTTGAACCAGCGTTCACGAGCTATTTCCAAGATGACTCCCCGACCTCCGACTCCATGACCACCGTCCTCGCCTTCGCCTTCCACGACCTCCCCAGGGTCTGATCATTTTCAGTGGCCATGACGGAAGTGAGAGAGAAGGAGAAGTTGAGAGAGAGAGAGAGAGAGAGAGAGAGAGAGAGAGAGAGATGGGATGGGGTTAAAAGGATGGGCACAGTTACCAAGCTCAATCAAATCAAAGGATAAATTTGTAACTTTTGTTGGGCTTTTCTCAGGGTTCGATACTTTGGGGCCTTAACACAAATACAGTGTATATTTGGGGCTTATACACATGGGTCAGAATATAAGGGGGCGGGTCACATGAACTTTCTACTTTTGGGGCCTGAACACATTTTCCCCTTTTTTTTAATATTTTCAAAATATTATATTAAGTATTTTTTATCAATACTAGTTTGACCCATTATAACATTAGTATTAAACATATTATTAATAGATTATATATTAATTATAATAAACTATATTGTAAATATAATGTTATAATATTTAGTTTACATTACTATATTAATATTTTTATAATAATGTTATTTTATTATTAATATAATATTATATTATTAATAATATAATATAATATTATACTATTATTCATATAATATAATATTATTAATAATGTTAATATTATGTTATTACTAGTATGTTATTAATAATTTAATATATTATAAATATTTTAATATTATATAATATATTATAGTTTTTAATATGTTAGAGTTTATTAATAGTACTTTAATAATATATTAGTATTTATGATATAAATAAATATTATTATATTATGAATATATAATTTCTTTTTAATTATTTTTTATTAGTTTATTTATATTTTATTATTATTTATTTATTATATAATACATTATTAACAGATTAACTATTGGTATTTAATGTGTTATTATATTATTATATAAGATATTTTATTTATTATATTTTTATATTATTTAATAAATATTACTAATATATTAAATTTACTATAATATAGTATAGTATAGTATAGTATAATAAGCATGTTGATAATAATTTTATATTAATTACATTTAATATATTATGTTTAGATATTATATTAACACATTCTCAAACTCAAAACCAAAACATCAAACTTAAAACACCTGAAAGTTGTTTTGAAATAAGTATTGTGTTTTTGGTTTGATGATGATTTAGCGCAAAAAACACCATGGTTTCCAAACGCATGATGT